TAATCCTCCAAAAATTGTGCATATACAGTAATTGAAATAATTCGTACAAAAGGATCAAGAATAATTGGTACCACTTATAGATCCACCAATGCCTCCTCTTAATGTTCCTCTAAATCCCAGCCCCATCTACAAGAGAACCCTAATAGTCTTCTATCATTCCGAGAGGAGGGGATGATGTGAGGTTCAAATGTATGGCTATAATGTTGTATACTAATACGTAGTGGGATTTTGGTAGCCGTAAGATTGGTTTCAATCTAGACCACACTCCTGTATATAAGCTAGGTTGGGTTAATTGAGATGCACATTTTATGTATTCCCTTTCTGTATTCCATGCACTCACAATGGAAAAAGTGTTAAATAAATAATTACAATATTGTATACTATTATTAGCATAAAAGGATTTTGATAGTTGTTAGATTTATTTCAATCCTATTTATGTATTCTATATACTTATGTTTAGAGGTAATTTTAATTATTTCTAAGGAGTGTTTAGATTTATGATTTTAGTTTTTACATTGTCTAGATTTATTTTGTTCTTGTAGCTTTCTATTAGATAAAGCCCAAGGAACAAAGTTTTTAGAGAATAATGGATAGAAGGTGCTATCTAATGTTCAAGATTGCATTTTTTCTTTTTTGTTTATCATTTATGTTCATTTTAAAGCTTCTTTTGTAGCAACTTCTTCCTCTTTTAGCAGTATTCATAGCATGTGATATAGCTTGTCCTTCTTTTGTTGCTAATCCTCAAGACCAACCAAATTTCTTTTATAAAAATTCTAGAGATGATATATACTATTAATTTAATCACTTTACAGTAATTACATTATTTACATCAAAGGCCATCTAAATCACTTATGAAATTTGGTGTTTGCTTCTATAGCATTTTGATTTATATAGAGCCAAATATGTTAGAGTGAATTAAGTTAAGCGTGTTATAATTAGCACTTCATCAAAAAAAAAATGTGAAACTTCACTTGCACTAGCCACCCTTGATAACACTCTTTTGACTAATACAACATTCACATGAATGGAGTAGTTGCTAACCTTGATGTTGAAAGTCTTGGGAATGAAGGAGTTGATTATAGCTATTGATAGTAATCATCAAGTACAATTAGCTACTAATGCTAGAAATGATGGAAATAAGGTAGAACATATAAGTGGTAATATAGATGGTGGAAATAAAATAATAGTTGAAGGCTAGGCTTTAAATATGGTAGAGGTTAATATCATTGTACATAATATTATTGTCTAGGCTCAAGAATGAATTATCAATAAAGTGTAGGTGAAATGGCTTAAAGAGGACTTCAAAAATTTAAAATTCCACTTTGTCATCTCAAACAAAGTCACTAGGTGCATTTGGCCTATAGCCTCAACATGGCTATTTATACCTTTTTCACAGAAGTTGAATTTAGGCACACGGTTGGAACATTTATTAACTAAAGCTAAGGTGGAGGTAGTTGAATATATGAAGTAAACTAGCAAATTGGAAAAGAAAAATTTGTGGCTTTGTCATTATCATTCTTATAAACTAATTGTATAAACATAGTTACTTGGGAGATCAAGCAAACTTGGGATCAATTTAGCAAATGAAATTTCAAGCATTCGATGCTTTGATAGTGTATCATAAAAAGATAAAAGCCTTTGTAGGCTGAATGTTCTACATTATCAATAAAAACCACTAGTGGCTAGTGCTTTGAAGGTGTATTCAAGAAAACTTTCAAGATAATTATAAGTGATATATTTCTGTTCTAGTGGTATTTGTGGAACTAAAAGATTGAACTAAGCTATGAAGTTTAATTTAGCATGTCATAAAATCAGCATGTAAAAATTCATTAATAGCTTTTGATTTCACCAACTATATTACAAGCTTAACTAGTTTGCATTCCAAGTGCATATCCTAATCTATAAGATTAAGCACCTTTAATATGTTAGCATGTTCTATCTTTCTCAAAAATCAAAGTTGCAAGGTTATGGAAGTAGTATAAGCAAAACTTGTTGTACGTAAATGCAAGAAGTTGCTTATCTAGTAATAGGTGCCTATGGATTTTTTGGTTGATGTCTGAGCAAAGGTACTTCTCTTGCATAAACTTGTATTTTTCTATTTATAAGTTTTCCTTTTACCTAATTGTTAAGGTAGAGCAAAACTTGTATTTGAAGATTATGCAAATAGTTGATGAGGGGAAAAAGAACCTTGAACTATGACAGATTGAGTAATGCATTTTGAATTTGAAGAAGTCAAAGGTCAATTTGTAGATATTCAACAGAATCAAGATTAGTTGGATTGCATTGTGGAGATATGCTCTCATGGCAATGAACTTTTTATCTTTCTCATTCCACTTTGAAATCTTTATACTTACAAGAAATGGAAAAGCACATGAAAAATTAATTTATAACATTGTAAAAAGCAAACTCTCCTTCAATGAATAAGTTTTTTGCTTGGAGCTTCTCAAGACTTGGTATCGTAATAATGAAAAGAAATTGAAGAGCAAGCTTGAGAATGTGATGAAGAAGAAGCTTTATATTACTTAAAATATTGTAGCTACTAAGGAGTTACTTCAAGTATGGGATACAAAGCTCCTTATAAATGCATTTACTGGTATAACAATTTTAAAATATACCTAAGCTTCCTTTCAAGAGATTGGGGATGTATTGCAAATGTAATTGTGGGTATTGAAATTTATTTGTTAGCACGGCAAAAAATTAGTATTGTTAGACCTTTTATTAATCCTTCTTGTGCTAATGGAGTTAATTGGGCATTTTGAGTGTACTTAGACTGGACGAATATAAGGATAGAATTTCTATATGCTATTAAGTAAGCATACTTAGCCCATATAAGGAGTTCCTATTTCATTATATCTTGCATTAACTAATGATAAAAACCCCTTTGTATTGAGACTAGTTCCTTAATATTGCCAATGATAACTTACCATGTCTACCAAACACTTTCACTATTATACCCATGTGTGGTCCCGTTTAGTCCTATTGGTTATTTATAAAAACTGTCTAAATCTACTAGTTGAGCATATTTATAGAAACACTAAAACTTTATAAAACTTAAGAATTCCAGATAAGTGATTCTCCTTCACTTGGAACTTAACACTTAACCCAAAGCAAAGTAGAAAAAATGGAAAATCAAGCAAAATAAAAAGGGAGTAATAAAGAAATATGAAACTAGTTTTGCCCATCATGGTTTTCCTTTGAATCTGGAATTTTTCACTTCCTCCTTTCCTCTTTCTTGGCTTTTTCTTTTGTGTTTCCCTCTACTTTTTCTTGCAGCAGTGTTAATATAGTGTATTATGTTGTAATGGTCATGGGTTTTTTGTATGCAATAAAGTCTATGCAATCCTCTATGGTTGTCTATTAGGATATGCATAACATTGAGTGAGTTTCTCTAGAATATTCTATTGTTAAAATATTGGGAATATACTCTCCACTTTTAGGGTAAGGAGTTCACACAAGATATCACTTTAATTGACAACTGGATTCATGTGTTTCTCCCCATGTTGAGAGGCTCAAAATCTCCAGTCACAAGTATGAAGTTCTCTCTGGCATCACATAGTTTACCACTTTGACTACACAGCCTTAGGACAGTTGTGAGAGTTACCTTGTTTGGCATCAGTGGCATAGTTCTTGCTGTTCTATGCGTAAGCAGCGCCATGGTCGGCCAAGACACCACATTCTTTGCTAGAATTCCATCAAACAGCTTGCAAGCTTCACCAAGGCATCCACAGCTCGCATACATTGCAACTAGCGAGTTTGCAAGAGTTGTATCTTGATAAAATCCCAGCTCCACAGCATCACCATAAACCTCAGACTCTTCCTATGTGATATTCAGTACTTGTGGTGAATCTGTCCTTCAATTGTCCCTCAATTTTCCCAGAGCCTGCAAAGTTCTGAATTCATAGTTTAAGCTTCATAGCATTCTATATTTAATCCTTCGGCCAGAGCTGTCTCGGAAGAACATCAATCCAAAGCACTCACCAAACTTATAGAATCCACTTGAATACCCTCCAGATCCATTAATCTAAACAGATGAACTGCAGTAGCTCCATCGCAGTTCTGTCCGTACGCCGCCACCATTGCGTTCCACGACACAAGTTCTTCTCTGGCATCTCATGGAACAGATTTCTCGCGCTGTTGACATGCCTGTTTTGAGCATAAGCCGAAACCATTGTCGTCCACACCACTGTGTCTCGACAGGGCATCCGATCGAACATCTCTCTCGCATTTGGGAGCTTCCCCTGCTGCGAAAACGCCACCACCATTGTAGTAAATGATGCCAAGTCCGGCTTTGGAGTGGATTCAAACGACCTCTTTGAGCTTTCGAGATCTCCAAGCTGCACAAACACCTTCGTTCGCGTGTTCCATGAGACATCGCCTCCAAGAGCTTGATGGCCTTGTTCGCCATTCCCACGTCAACCACCTTGTTCCACAGCACCATATCCCTCATTAGAATCTTCTCACTCGCCGTTTCTGGGCATATTCCGCGACCAGCACACGATTGTCTGCTGGGGCATCTTGTCAAAAAGATCCTTTGCGGTGTCGAGAGAGCCAGACAGAGAATATACCCTTATGATTGCGTTCCACGACCACTGCGGCATCTAGTCGAACATGTCTCCGCACCTGGGAATATGCAGTGCATGACACAATATCTTTGTTAGGCATCTGGGCGAAGATCCTCCTAGCTTCGTGGAGATTCCCATTGCCAGTGTAGGCTGCCGTCATGATCTCAAAAATGGAGTCAATTTTTCATTGTAACTTCCCCTTCTCAAGATTTACACATCCAAAATTTTATTCTAAATAATATAATACATCCATGAGTGCATCGCAATTCTCTCAAATGCCCAGTGGGATTCGTCCAAGCTGCCGCATTTGCCAAACTATTCCACTAGGAGAAGGTGTTTCAATCCCAGCCATTTCCAACTAGGTGCACGGAGAGCGATTCGAGTTCCTGCAAAGCCGGATCGCAGAGGCGTAGGTCGAGATGCTTTGGGGGGATTTCCAGGAACCAGGGAGTGGAGCTTGATAGGATCTAGATGAATAGGATCTCATGGAGTGGAAGTGGCGGCATTTCTTCCATTGCGGCAGCTCATCCCTGATCGTGGGCGATGGTCTCGCGAGCCTCAATCAAGCTATCACACTCGTTGCCTCGATCGACCAAAAGGCTCTTAAGGGGGAAAGGAATATCCTGTTCTAGTGTAAACCCTAATGAGTTTGGGCGGGACGATGAAGCGGCAGCGGCGATCGTCTTCCCGGGTAAGCATTTTCCCTCCGGTGGCGTGTGTTGAGCTCGCTGGTTTTGTAGATTGCTGCGCGCGGTGGTGCGCCGGAGCCAGAAGGGGTGAGAAATGGTTCTCCTGTCGATTTCTTTTTCATGAACGAATTTTTTCCAGGAAACTGTCGACTTTGGTGTGGGCTACATGGAAGACAATGTGCTCGCAATGCTGGATTCACAGGGCGTCAAAGACGCCGAATCCATTCGAGACGACAGTATGAGCTCTCTCGTTTTTTATGGTTTTTCTTTTCTTTAGTTTCTCGTTAACTCTTTTCAGAGCTTTCGTTCCTGGATGTCGTTTTTGAGGAGTTTGTGATGCCCGAGAAAGCCAGGCCAAGCAAGTAAGCAAAGAAAAGAGAAAAGAAAGAAAAACTTTTCTAAGTTTTGGATTTCTAGGAGCATCTACAGAGCTGTCTACTCGTGTTTGCGAGAAAGCAAATCCATGGAGGTGGCAATGGCGAGCTACAGACTTTTGAAAGACTTAGACGAGGTAACCTCTTCGATCATACTGATCAATCTATCTTTCTTCCTTTTCTTTTTCACAGGTAGTCATATCTTACGCGTCGGAAGTCCCTTACAAAAATGTTTCCTGCATTACCTCCTTGGTAACTCAATTCACCATTTATTTATTTAATTTTTCCTTTTCTCCATGTTCTGACGGATGCCTTCTAGAATCTGTCATCGCTTGCCAGAGATTTAATGGTTAAAGAGTCTCCAATCTGCGCCGTAAGTGAAATTTTATTTATTTCTTTCTGTTATTTTCTCCTTACATGCTTTTCTTTACAATGGAGTTTCAGTTTCCGGTGAAAACACTTGTGTTTCGGCACTTCATTGATCAGTTGGTCAAAGATTTTGAGCAGACACGGGCAAGCTTCGATGGTATGTGTTTTTTTTCGAAAGGGTAGAAGCTAAAAGTTTGAAGATCTCGCAGGTGCAAATATGGAGAGGTTTTGCGTTTATAAGCAGTTGGAGATGTGCGGTGGAAATTCTTCCTTTGATAAGATCCTCCTGGAGTTGCTACATTTTAGTTTGGAGGGAGTGACAGAGAACAATAGCAGTCTCCAGTACTTCGACATCATTTATAAATCGACCCAAGCGTTGATATCTCTGGTAAGTTTTTCTGTGACCTTGTTGTAATAACGTCTCTTATTGTTTTCACAAGCTATTTCACCTTGATGAACTGAAAACGAGGTGAGAATCGTTGTTTATAATGGTGCGATAATCTTTACCTTTGTCAGCTTAACGAAGGATTATATCGACCAGTTAGTGGACAAACTGTTCAAGAATAACGGTGAAAAAATGCCTATTTTCTTGGAGGTGTGTTTATCTATTTACATGCTTTTAAATATCGACGATGTTTTTATTTCATAAGGCAATCCAGAAACCCGAGCAGAAGCTCCAATTCGTAATGGAGTGTTTTGTTAAGCTATTTTCCTCAAGGGTATGTGGTTTTCTTTCTGTAACTTATGATTGGAAGAGTTCGAACGTTTTTATCTTTTTGTAGCGACCACCTATAGATTTTTCATCCTTCGAAGTCTTGCTGCAACGCTTCGATGATCGAACTGCGCAGGTCTTACTCAAAGAATCACAATCACAATTGCTGCTTGCTCACGCGTTTCAGGTATCGCTGTTTTGTTTCTCAATTTTGCAAAACAATTTCTTTTTCTTTTTCTTTTTCTTTTTCTTTTCTTTTTCCAGGCAATTCTCTGCATCAATCCTTCCGACGGCTCTTCGATTGCAGGACTGTTCATCGCTGCTTTTGAAAAGCTTCAAGCGGTTCCTCGGTATGCTATGCCTAAATCAAAGTTCTCCAAAACATTTGTTTCCTGTTTTCCAGGGATTTCATTGTCCATCCGACTGCAAAGCAGGCCTTGGTTGTGGCGGAGGTCTTGAGCAACATCTGAAGTCGTCAACTCCAATTGAGAAAGACTAATCTCTAAGACCGGTAAACGCATTACTCGTTTCTGGAGTAATGTTTGTTCTTGACGATCTTCACAGGTATTAACAGATTTTTATCGGCTGCGACTCCGCTGTGGAGTGTTCTTCGGACTCTTTCGTGGTGATGGTGTCCTACTGAGGCCTCTTCTCGGAGAACCGCCGCCTCCATTCTCACCACCCATGACTTTCGTGGTCCACTGCTCAATCAATCAATCGATTGATCAAATCCATTTATTCAGAAAAGTTTCCTTCTAACTCCAGCGAGCTTAAGTTCTTACCATGTCGAGAAGAAGCTGGTACTTGAAGTCCAGCATGTTGATCTTATCCTTCATGCCTTTGAGCTCTTCTGTTTTCCTTGCGTACTTGGCCACCTCTCTCTTCTACAAATCCAAGAACTGTAAGTTTTTGGAGCTACTTACGAGTTTTGTTTTGTGCTTTTTTTTTCGAGTTTTACCAGGTGTTTCCTTTCACGCCTCAAGACATAAATCTCTCGATGGATTCCCATCGCTGTTCTCGGGATTCCAGGACCTGGATCGAGCACAACTAAGACTTGTACTTCCATTCTCGAGAGAGGTAAAGGATTGAGTTTTACCAGCAGACCATGATCCATCTTGACAGGTGAAAGGCTGATTGTCCAAAGTGAGCGTGATCGGCCCAAGGTTCTCAATCTCTGCTAGGTTTTGCTCCGATCGAACGCCTCTTTGTCTCCTGAGAAAACCATTTTGTTTTCTTTTTCCAGGACAATCTCGAAGAAAGGAAGCTTACCAGTTTCTAAAGAGGCCAATGACAAAGATTTGATGCATCAGCTCCTTCTCAAAGTAGCGAAGGATGCAATAAATCTTCCAAAGTGGAGCTGTGCACCATTCCAGCGTTGAATACGAGCACGTACAGCAACAGCACGAGCAAGACATCGCCAAGAGGAAAAACAAATCCACCCAAGAGGGGAGAAATCAAAGAGATTTGCCCTCTTCTCTTTTGCTCCAAATTTCTTGTCTTCGCAGGTTTCAAGGGTTGTGTGTATAAATCACCAACGGCTTAAGATTCAGCTGAAGTGATTAAGTAAATACTTAATCTTGTCTTTTAGGGCTGGCCAATGGACGTACACGCTCTCATCTCCATAGGGTGGAGCTCTGTTTGAGACAATCGAAGCGTGGTACGTGGAGAAATACGTACCTAGGAGGAATACCCCACTGCTTTTCTCGCTGTGGAGTTTAATTTGCTGTTAAAGGAACCCATAACGGGATTTCTTTCTTAATGACATCCCGCGCTGCAAGCCATGGGAGTTGAAACTACCGACAAAAACCACTGTAACTGCAAGGATCTGGAGCAGCTCCTGGTAGATCTGAGTGACGGCGGAAGGCTTGCTTCTCTTATTACGATGTGCCCTTACCTTACGCACGAGGAGAACGTCTACATTGCCGTGTTAGATGCGCGGCTGTGGTTGAGCAACTCGGAGCTTCCTGTCGAACTTGTCGAGAGAAGCCGATCTTGTGAGCCTTCAGCATTTTCGATTTTTCAGTTTATTTTTCAGAGACGAGGCGATCCGTAAGGGGGCCGCTCCAGCCATGCGGCAGCTGCATGGCCACCCTCCCTTCACGTTCCACGTCCTGCAGAGGCAGCGCGCATCGGGCAACCACTTGGGCGTGCTCAGCGACCCGGAGACGAAGGTGTATTACGTGACGCCAATGGATTATGAGCCAGAGAGCCGCGGCTGTTACATGGCGAGGATGTCGAGATTGGGGGAGTGCTTCGTGGGCTCGCGCAAGAGTTCACCGGAAAAGGAGGCAGCATGCCTGGCTCGCATTGACGACGAGGACGAAGAGGACGTCAAGGCAGAGTTCCTCGTGTACAACAAGCAGAGTGAAACATCTTTCATGTTCAAGCTCCTGGCTCACCGCACATACGACATCGATGTCTAATCGGGCGGATGCAGCTTTGTTGGTTTTTGACTTGTTGCTTTTGTCCACGAAATCCCTCATCCAAAGATTGATCGGGAGCTCACGAATACTGACTTTTTCAAGAAATCAATGAAACTTACTTGCTTGGATCAAAAACCTGTTAAGTGTTTCATTTTTCAGTGATGACTAAGAGAACAAGAAAAGATGATAAACAACCTGCATCGATCTTCCTCCTGCCCTGGACAAGCACATATGATCGCGCAACTCTTAGCAGCAGCCTAGCATCGCCATTTGCTAACATTCTATTTTGTCGACTGTGTCTAGTGCTGTTCAGAGCAGATATAGATGCTGTTTTCCACAAAGTTGGCGACCACTCTTTTTTTGTTTCTTTGTCTCACGAGCAGACAGAGCTGCAATCCCTCAGCAGTTGAAGTAGTTCCCTTTTATCTCGAATGAGCCTTGTTCCCTTGAAGTCTACAGCAGGGAGGAGGATCGCCTATTCAAGCTTGGGGCTGCGGTTGTGCCCCCGGGCTTGAGAGAAACCGTGGATGCCACGCTCGAGTTGCGGAGGGGGAGCGCAATCCAAGCGTGGTACATGGAGAGCTTTGTACCTAGTTATTCACTCGCATGCACATGTGCAAAGATTGCACACTGAGTGCACTTATCTTTAACACTAGATTCACAAAAAGAGACAAAATTCCACCAATCTTGTGTTACTGTGAACACTGAAGAAGTTTTTGAACTGTGTTTTTCTAGCTCTTGGCCCTAGTCAGTGCAGTACGCATTGACGATGAGGAGTTCAAGGCATGCTTCCTCGAGGATGAAACATCTTTCGTGGCCAAGCTCTTAATCGTGTGTTTAAAATTATGTACTTCCTTAAACAAGATGGAGTAGCCATATTAGTATAGTGCTACTCCCCAGTCCAAAAGAGCATTTGCGAAGACGGCAGCTAAGCTCATGTAAAATGGAGCCTTGCCATCAAGAGAGAGAAAACACGCAGAAGGAAGGCACATAACAAGTAAAAAGTAGAGCCCAGCACATCTAAGATAAATTCATAGACATGGACAGTACTTGCAATGCTACGGCTTGAGTGGCAAGATCGTAGAATGAAGAGCGCTAGAAGAGAGCTCGAATGATCGGGGGATTGCTTGGTAGCGTGAGCAACAGCAAAGCTTGATGCCTTGGTTAGCTCAAAGGCTTTTCTTTGAGTGAGAAATTAAAAACTAGACGAGCATACCTGAGCATACCTCTGAAAGCTTGGTGAAAACTGGAACAAGTGGTAACAGGACTGTGCTGGATGGAGCAAAGAAGGCCATGACGAGACGATTTGCATCTTGTAAAATTTCATTAAAGATCTCAAAGTTTTGATTTTGATTTTATTTTGCTAGCTAATTACATTCGAGAGCTGCAGCGGCATTTCGAAAGTACTTTTCGAAAGTAAAAAAATCAAAAGATCTCCATATTCTATGGTATAGAGATTCCAATGGCTTCTAGCCACTTAATTTTGCTACTTAAAGAATCCCAATCACAAACCTCATGTGCAATCAAAGAGCTGTTATGCAAAGAAATGCCTGGGAACGAGACTGTTCATCACTGCTTTTGAAAAGCTTCAAGTGGTTGCTCGGTATGCTATGCACAGCACTTTTAAATCAAGAACAATCTTTGCAAATTTTTATTAACATTTCATTTAGGGTTTCTTTAAAATCACTTTTCCTTTAACACTTGCTTAATATCTCTTATTAAAAAGCTTTTAAAGTTTGCATTCGTTTAAAGTTCAATCCTTATCCGTTTAAACAATACTTTGTAGAGGTTAATATTTTAAATTTTGTTTTTCCCTCTTCTTATTTGCTCCAAATTTCTTCTCCAACAGTTTAAGATTTTGAGCTGAAGTGATTAGGTAAATACTTTTCACAAATTTAGAGGATTTATCCAACGGCTAGAGATAAGGGCTTTGTACAGTGCCCACGTGGAAACTACGTGGAATAAAGTATGTGGAGGTGGCATATTCGCTTTCTACCCTAGCGAAGAACAAGGAAAAATGGAGGGATGTGTCTGGGCGCCGGGGATGAGTTCCTGGCTTCTTCCAGTCAATCGCGGCGTATTCTTCCAGCTGAATCTCTGCTGCTGCGGTCGCAAGGCGGCGTTTCGACGATTGAGGCATTGCTCGAGGCGGAATGGTATGATATTGTGAGATTTCTTGGTTTCTAGCTCTCGATTCTGGCGCAGTCATCAGTGCGTTCTGGCAAGGCGATCAGAATGTGAGGGACGATGGTGGAATCGACGCGCAACGGCAGCTGCTAGAGGCGTTTAGTGTTAAGGAGCAAACAGTGGACAGTAAAACGCCTAGAGGCGAGCTTTCTACTGCTGCGATCAATGCGATTGAGCAATTCAGTCGGTAAGTGTTCTAGTTCGATCGATCGATGAGAATCCAATGACGGTTTTTTCTTTCCTTCTCCGCGGGGGAAAAAAAAGATTGAGTGGAGTGACAGGCAGGAGGATGAGAGAACATTTCGAAAGATATGCTCCAGTTTCTGTGCAAAACGAAGCACGAAACTTACTCGAGTTTTGCTGCTTTCGGTTCCTGGGAAGAGGCTCTGGAGATTTCATACCAAACTTAAAGGTAGAACTTGTCAATAACTTTGTGAAAGCGTTTGTTTGTGATCGCTCTCTCCTTCTCCAGGATGCTGCGTTTCGACGTCTCACCTTTATAACAATGCTGGCATGGCAGCAACCTTACATGGAAGCTCAAGAAAAAATTCAAGTAAGCCTTCTTTTCTGTTTTTATTTTCGTCTCCAAAACTCTTTTTGGTGCAGACACTTGTACAAGAACCAGCGTTTGCAAGAATCGCGCCCTCCATACCTGGAGCTGCCGACTTAGCCACGGCGCACCACCTGTTTAAAGCTCTTACTGGCGACAAAGATGGTTTGTCGTTTGACACTTGGGATAGATATCTTTGCGAGCTGTGCGGGTGAGTGTCAAAACCTTTTTGTTTTTTTCCTTCGATTCTGTTTTAAGTTTTATGTTTTCTCTAAATTCAGTGTTGTAAATGGTCGACACATTTTTCGTCAGGAATGTAACTTAGAGCTCGATCGTGACGAAAGTCTTATTTGTATTGGAGCTAGCCGGAGGCAACCTGTGCAGAAATGGGATAATGGGATGGCGTGGCCTGGAAATTTGACTATGACGGATCGTGCTCTCTATTTCGAGGTTTAGCTTGGTTTCTTTTTCTTCCAGCATTAGTCCTTCTGACTTTTATGTATTGCATAGCCTTTCAGGATTGCTTTCCAGGATAAACAAACACTGCGTCTCAGTTTTGATGGACCCGAGGCTAAAATTGAACGTAGGAGAGTTGGGCCCCTCGGGATGGAGCTCTTTGATTCTGCAATTTCGATTTCTTCGAGCTCGGAGTACGTTTTGAGAACGTTTTTGACTTAAGCGATGTGTAATATCTGTACTTGAATGCTATCTTGCAGGGACGATCCATGGGTGCTGGAATTTGTCGACTTCACAGGTAGAGGTCGCCGGGAAATTTGGTACCTGTTCATTCTAGAAATGATGATGGTGCACAGGTTTATTCGAGAGTATGCTCCAAAGACGAGCGAAACTTCTCCAGAATACGCTTACGTCTCCAAGACTGGAAGGAGAAGGGCCATAAACAGTGCGCTGCTTGGGATAGCAAGGTTTCAAGCTTTGCAAGCTACCTTAAAGAAAGCACCGGAGCATCCAGAGAAACTTCTCCAGTATTCATATGTTTCGAGCACAGCAGCTGGGTTCTTGGTGCTTCAATCGCTGGCAGTAGACTTTTGGGGTGGCAGGATGGAGCTAAGCTCTTACGAGAACTCGCAGGTCCCGAAAAACAACGAACTCACTTCAAGCGGCTATATAGTTGGCACGGATGGTAGCATCTACTTCCGAAAATGGATGGACTCAGAGACGTGGAACCGCGCAGAGTCCATAGCATTTTGGAGGCAAAGACTGGGAGGAGGAGGCATGGTTCTGGGAAAGAATCACGTAGTTGGAGGCTTGAGTCAGCTGGAGAGGGCAGTGGGGGAATGCAAGGAGCAAAACAGGGAGCTTGAGTTGACGAAAGCAACCATTGACGGGGCTATAATCGCAGGAATTCCAGAAAACATTGATCTTTTCAAGGTACGCAACTTTTCTAGCGATGGAAGTTAGTGTCGTGTTTTTGTTTTGGCAGGAACTTATGTCCCCTTTGCTAGCGATGGTGATGGAGCTTAAGAAACTTAAAGAATGGAAAGAGCCACCAAAGACACTGGCGTTCTTGGCGTGCTTCTATGGTGCCTTATACTTGTAAGCACTTGGAAGAACTCTTCTCGTTCATTTTTAACTATATATCTTTTGTAGGAGATGGCTGCGCTACGTTTTTCCCAGTGTTTTACTTATCAGTAGCATCGGAGTTTTGGCACTGCGAGGTTTGAGAGCCAATGGACACGTAGAGCCGGACTTTGGAAAAGTTACAATCCAGGAACAACCTCCCTCCAACACACTCCAAAAGATAATCTCCCTGAAGGAAGCACTGGCTCAACTCGAGACGTTCCTCCAGAACGTCAACGTAGCTCTCTTGAAGCTCCGGACGATCGCTCTGTCCAGCAATCCAAAGGTAGTCTCTTAACTTCTCTTTCATTTTGTTGATCTTGGTTTGAGTTTTCCAGGCGACCAACTTGGCTTTGCTCTCCGTGATCGCTGCCGCTGGCCTTCTCGTGACGCTGCCATTCCAGATCATCGTGGCTTTCCTTGTCCTGGATCAGTTCACCATGGAGCTCAAGTTCCGGAGGCCAATGGTGCGTGAGTTTTTCGCTCGACTCAAGGCCTGGTGGGAGAGCGTCCCTGCCGCGCCGGTTGTGGTGGAGCGCTTGGAGAAGCCTGACAACAGCTTGCCTCTACTGCCGGACAATCCCGTGATCAAGGGCGACGTTGTCATGGAGACTCTCAACCAGTGGTTTGGAGAGAAATAGTCGCGCCTCGTATTCGTTTATGTACATACTACCTTATACGCCTAGGATTAATAAATGCTTTTCTGTGTTTGTCCTGCCGTTACACAAGACAATGTCCTTTGTTTGCTTGGAAATATTTAAGAATATTAAAAAATATTCTCTATAAAAAGTAACAATTTAGCATTAAAATAATTTATTCATGATTATTTTGAAAGATTTGGTAAGTTATTTTGTAGTTTTTTAGTTTGTTTAAGTAAACTTGTAAAATGTGCTTAACTATTCTAGAATATTCTACCATCTAACGGTTGTTATTCATTTAGATTAATCTTGTATTTATAATTTATAAACATGTTTATAATTTATAAACTTTCTTAAACTCTTTTTAGTATATTCTTTTTATTCTATCATCTAATGGTTGATATGCAATAAGATTAATCTTGTGTTTATAAATTACAAACATGCTTATAATTCTAAACTTTATTTGATCAATTGGATTAATAAGTAAGAATAACACTACTATTAAGCAAAACAAGCGATTTTAGAACTATAAAGCCTGAATAAAATTTATATTTACAAAGAGCTGAAATACTTAATTATGTGTATTTAAAAATTTTGAGTAATTTTGATTATATTAAGGAATTCATCCATTTCCTCTTTTTCTAGGAATAAAATAAAATTAATATAAGATTAATTTAATATTAATATAAAGTAAATATTATATTTTCAAGAAATTTATTTCTTGTTTTTTTATACCAATTATTAAAAACTTAAATTTTAAACATACATACATACATATAAATTTAATTAATTTAATGAAATTTACTTTTAAAATTAATAATTTTAACTTAAATATATTTAATATCCAACACTGACAATAATATTTGTAAATGCTAATGAATATCCAAAACTTGGATTATTAAAATTTTATCTTTGGATATTCATAGAAAGAGAAGTAATTGCAAAAGAAAGGGTTTCTTTTTCATTTTACTGTTGAATTTGTTACACTTAGAATGGATTCTTAAGTTCACAATAAATTTATACTTTAACATAGTTTTACATCATAATATTTAACCCTCTAACACTCAAAAATTAAATTTTCTTTATATAAATTAATGAAACCATTAATTTTATTTTTATTTTCCATTGACAATATTTTAATTTATTTTTTAAAATTCTCAATTTATTTTCATTAAAGTTTATTCTGAAATAAAAGAATTTTAATTATATATTAAGAATCTAACACAATTAAATATATTCTTTTTCTAGTTCCTGAAACATTTTAAGGATTGTTGAGATTTCTGAGTTAGGGTTTCAAAAGGAAGGACAATGGCTTTGCCCATGGTGAGTGGTGAGTATAGTCTAGAGGAGATCTTGCAGCGGTGGAGCAATCACCAGTGGCTGTTCAAGTGGCAAAGTTTCTTCTACGCGCTGGGCTATTGGCCACTTGTTTTCCAATCTCTTCTCAGCATCTTGGCGATCCTCAATCTTGAAGGCAATCCAGATAAACAGGGCCTTGATCTCCAGTTCTTCCTCACACTAGTCCCTTTGATCTTCTGTAAGTTTCTTTGCATCACCTTCTCTAGCTAGAGCACTCAAAGGATCATCTTGTTTCCACAGGTGAGATGCTAGCGGTGATCTGGGGCATCAACTTCAACACCATCTACACTCTCATCATGCTCGCCTCTGGTCTGACTGGAATCCTTTCGATGGCATGGACAAATCCCACGATTGAACTGTCCAAGGCAAGCTTGTGCTTCGTGGGCGTGCTCAACATGGCCTGGCAGCTCATGCTCGAGTTCAATGATCCTTGGATCTTCAGCTATGCCTGGTCGATCGTTCTGCCCACTTTCGCTGGCACCACCGCCCTTTCCTCTCTTGCAATCTTCTTGCTGCGGAGCAAATGGTCGATTCAGTTGGACGTCTTCTCCGGGACGCTGGCCGTGGCATACGCGCTGCTCCTCTCTCCCAACTTGCTGGAGTCTCCATGGCACCTTGTCGCAAACTCGAAGATGGCGAGAGCCATACAGAGGCTCCGGGAAGTAGCTTTCATCACAGGGAATGATCTACCAAAGGATCTTGCATCGTTAACAATCTCCAATCCATTGATATGGATCCAAGATATGGTTCACACGTTGTGAAGATCACACAGCATAATTCGAAACAATAGCATATAAGTCTATGACGACATTTGTTTCCAAAGCTCGAGGATGAAGGATGAAAAAACATTAAGCAACTTTCTCAAGGAATCAAGCCCGATATTGGATTAATTTTCGATGTGAACTTTTTAAAAGTTAAAAGTCTTTCATTTAATTAATTTAAGGGAATTTGCAAGAATATCCTGCGGGAGTCCAATACTCTCTAAGTCTAATACTAGTTCTAGTGTGAATCTCTCTGGATGAAGAACCACACTCACTTCCACACCCCGGTTTCCAGCGGGCGATGGAAAGAGATAGATCTTGCCGTCGCTCAAATCGTTGGTCCCAAATGTAACACCGGCTGGCCTTCCAAATCCAAAGTCTGTCTCGTAGACCGGATGCCGGGGAGAGCTCACCACAAGGCTGAAAGACGCTGGATCGATCTCCATCTCTGTGATGAATCCGGTTTCCATGACGTGATACATGAACTTCAGCTGGGCTTGGTTCTTCTTCTCGTCCATGCTCACGATGGCGTCGTGCAGGAGGCCCGCGGCGTAACCAATCCCCTTGGACGTCAGATCCTCGACTCTAGCGCTCACGATCGCGGTGGCGATGGCGTTTCCCAAGTAAAACTCTGGGACTTTGGCGAACCTTCCCCGGCTGTCGAAAAGAATCGCGATCGCGGCCTCTTGATCCGGGCGCAAGCCGCGATGGCGCGCGGTTAGCGTCCAAAAGTACGCGCACACGACTTCATAGCTGGAGAAGCTGGCGCGAGTTTCTTCCAGGCATCTGGATTTGAGCTCGGAGATGTGGCTCTGATCCAGGCGGAAGAGCCTGACGTCCAGCTGCGGCATAGAGCTCGAGGAGATTGATTCGCGTGGTTTGGAGAGATCCCGGGGTGATGACGCTGATTTCTTGACTTTGTAGCCTATGGACGCTGCGACCTCGAATGCTTCCTCGAGCTCCATGTCTTGTTCTTCCACTTCGTATGAAACCACTGGCGGATTTCGCAAGACACCATCTCGAGCGATTTGAGCCCAGGAATTGAAGAAATGCCATCCGCTAACGCCGTCGCAAACTTGGTGGCTGAAAGCGATCGCGACGCTGATCCCACCATCGACAAATCTCGTCACCTGGTCAAGGAAAAACCGTGTGTGAAAACGAAGAGTCAAGGTAGGTTCTCCGGAAGTACATTCTTCCGGAAACTCCGGAGAACTTGTCAAGAACTCCGAGGATCTAAGCTTACCTGTGCGAATAGCAGTGGCAAATCTGGACTCCATGGCCAAGTTGGAGAAGATCCCATGTCGCAAAGCTTGTCACAGAAACTCGAGGGCCGGATGGCGAGATCGCCCAGCGTTGCATCGGTCACTGCCTCCGTGAACTGGACCGAGAGCGTGGAGCAATCGATCTCGAGAGAGGAGCTCGAGAGCCTACCGGCGAGAGGATAGAAGCTGACAAGCGCTTGGGCGAGGCTGCCCTTGAGAGATTGGATGTGGCAATCGATGCTGGACGGCTCCACCGGATTGTAGAAGAGGATCCTCTTCTGGTAGAGAGCAAAGCGCATTGCTCGATCGTAGAGTGTAAGCTTGATCGATTCGCGAAAGGAGGATGGATTGGGCGGCTCTGCCGGCGCAACCATTTGCACGGAAACGATCCTCACTTCCTCCATAGCTCGGTCGGTCTACGCGAGAAGAAGAAGAAGACCCCCTTAAAAAAGATTAGGGCTTAGCACGAGGTCGCGGTTTCGAATCCTGGCAAAAAATATTCTTAGCACAATGCGAATATGCTCGAATCTTCACGAACGGCTCCTTTGTGGAAGAAACTTCTTCTTTCTTGAATGTGTCCGCGGTGGATCATCGGCTCGGCCGCCATAGCTAGGGATGATCCACTGCCGCGTCCGGCAGCGTTGCCATCGATCGAATCGGCAGGCGCTGGGACTCGGCGATCGAGGTACTGTTGCGCAGGGCAGGGTTGCGAGGTCTGGTCCCGAATTGAGGCTGCGCTCCTCTGAGGCGGCGGCTAATCGACGCGATCGCGGGGAGGACTGGATCCCGCTTCTCCGCGATCCGGAAGAGGATGAGGCGTCGATCGAGGTATGCCCTTTCTTTCAGCAAGGAATTTCGCCAAGGGGACTCTTTCCACAGGAAGAAATGCGAGAATTTTGCATTGGAATGGGAGTGATCGCGCCAGCTTCGCGATCGATGACGGAAGAAGATGGTTGCGAAGACCTTCCGGAAGCGCGGATTTCTTTTGATCCTCTGGAAGCTCCTTCGAAGATCAGGACGTCGCCCTCGTCGCATTTGCTGGGGAAGGAGATGGTTTCGGCGATACGAAATGCGGTGGATGCTTTTGGGGAAGATCAACGTGCCAGGCAGGAGATCTCTGTGGATTTGATTGCGGACGAGCTTCTAAGCGAGCTCGAGAGAGCTGCTGCGCAGGTACTACGAAAAGTTTGCTTTCGTTTTCTCTTTGTCTGTTTAGAACTTGGAAGCATGCTTGTAACAGGTTGCTGGCATGGAATCCGAGGTGACAATGCTAAGGGAGCGCGTCCAAGCGAGTGAAACTCGAGAAAGATTCCTCCAGCAACAATTGAATCGAGCTCGAAAGACGTCAAATGGACAGCACTGTTGCCACTGTTCTTCCGCAACGCAAGTAAGCAACGCTCTTGTTTGTCTTTGCGACGATTCCCTTTTGTGATTTTCCTAGAGATTAGCCGCTCTAGAAGACGTTTCCAGGCGTAAAGACGAGACGATCCTGGAGCTGGAGCGAGAGATTCATAGCCTGCAAAGAAAGGTATCTAAGCTTCGCTTTAACTAAGAAAAAAACTGACTCCTTTTGTGATTTCTTGCAGATTTCTAGCTTCCTCAACAACAGATCGGAGTGCCCGACTCCAGTGGCCATCAAAAAACTCGTTACCAGATTTTCTTCGTCGCGAGATCCAGAGACAAGCGAAAACAAAAGCGAAAGAGCTAGAAAATATGAAAAGAAAGCCGCCACAAGAGCGCATTCTAGCAGCATTCTAGCCGATCTTACACCCAACATTTGTAGATAGTTTAAATAAAGTATATTCTCCTGGATCAAGATTTAGGGCTAATAGATTTTAGGGCTTTGGGGGAATGGCGCTGGCTCACGACGCTGCCGACGCGAAGAAGGCCGATGATCCGCTCGATTCGCTCGCTCTCAGCGCCGAAAATGTGCAGCACAATCTCAGGATCGCCTACTACTGCCGGACGTTCCTGTCGATCGTGGCGGGCGCCATCGCGGGCGTTCTAGGGCTCACCGGTGTGTATGGATTCCTTTGCTACTTCCTGGTGATGCTGTGCGCATCGGCTGGGCTCGCTGCCAAGACCCGATTCAACACCAGCGCCTTCTTCGATTCGTGGCACCGCGTGGCGTTCGATGGTTTCCTCCAGGGGCTCATGTCTTTCGTGCTCTTTTGGACGCTCGTCTATGACATTGTCCACATTTTCTAGTAAAGAAGAAGATCTTTTCTACCATCGCAGCTGCTTAAACTGGACGCTCCATCTCCATTTTGTTTTTCTCTAACTTTTGTTTATCGTTTTCTTCCTTGTCCAGTCTTTTACGTTGCAGATTTCTTCCGGATGACGCGGTGACGAGCAAGGTCTGTTTTTTCCTTTGTTTTTTTGCAGCAGATTCTTAAAAATTCTTTTCTTTCACTGCAGTGGCCATCCTCGCGACAGGCAGTACAGTCAGGAATGTGTCCAAGGTTGTGCTGTGTTTATCTTATCTTACGGTTTACATACTTAGAAAAACTCGGTTTTTGCAGCTAGCTTCGCGTGCCTCAAAAGGCTGTCTATCATTCACAGGCTAGTGCTCGGAAAAAAAAGGAGAATCACATGGGATTTTTCTGGCCTTCGCGTAAGTTTTACATCATTCATCCAGTCTAGTAGGCTTTTTCTCCTTTTCTTTCGTAATCGTAGACAGCTTTTGGTTGTCTAGGCCGGAAAGATAAATCCGACTCTGATTTTTTGCGTTTGATGTGGTCACCCAGGTCGTATGAATCGTGTAGGAGCAGCAAGGAGCAGCTACTTTGATCAGTGCGAGGTGAAAGACGAGCGGAGCTCGGGAGACGAGAATGCAGGCTTGATCGAGCAGAGAAAGGCCGCAGCTTGGGCATGGTATGGTCGAGGAGGAGGAGGTGCCGGAAACGCCGATTCTCAGCATGCTGTAGTGACAGCACCAGCAGGGGCTGCTCGAGCTTCGACTTCGCGGTTTAGGATGGAAGCTTTTGAAGCTCTGGAAGAGAGCGGGAAGCTCCAGATTGTGGTAGACAACAGGAGAAGCAATCTGCTCGACGCTTACGAGCTCAATTCTTTCAGCAGGAGGCTCGAGGAAGCACTGCTGGGTGGAGGAGCTGGTGCCAAGCTCGAGCGATCGAGCAGCCTCTCGGGAGCTTTTGGAAAGAAAGGAAACTCCAGGATCATGAGACTGTGTGGGAAATTGTCCGCGGCTTTCCAGGTCCGAAAGAACCGCAATCAAGAGCACCCCTGGAGCTGTGGCGAGAAAATCAAACTTCTCTAAAGATAAAAAAAAATAAAATTAGATGCTTATATAGTTGTGTAGGATCTCTTTTATCATATCTTATTTCATGAACTCTATGATGAATCACACGGAAATCTACAAGAGCGATTTTCTATTTTGTAAGTGTTATTTACAGCCTTTTAACATCTATATTGGTTTCTGGACCATTGAGAGGCAATGTCCTCTTTGATCCATCCAAAGCAACGCCGAGAACTAAGTTCTCTTCTACCGACGAAGATCTCGGCAGGCCTTTCTTGCCGTTTCCATCTCCTTTCACTGCTCTTACGCTGCCAACAATCTGCTCTTTGACATCGTCCTGCACGTAGATCTTGCCTCGGACAACCTGTGCATTTTCGCCATCTATCTCCGCCGGTTTCGGTTGAGGAGATTCTTCCTCCTCGACCGGCAGCTTTGCGTGAGATTTCCCGAACGCCGCTCCTAGCAGTGTTATGTCCTTCGAATTCAGGCCCATGGAATCCAGGCCCGCGAGTTGAGGCTTTGCTTCACCCGGATTGCCTTGACTCTTGTCGATGTTCTCGGCCACAATCTCGGACTGTGACTTTGATCTGGTTAGCGGATGCTCTGACGACAGCACCGAGGTCTCACTTATGAGAAGTGGCCTGTCGTACTTGCTGGCCGGAGCCTGTTGCGGCTCGTCTGCTGAAACTCGATGTATCGAGCGAATTGGAGTCGCCAGCCGAGCGTTGTGGTGACTGATTACTTTTAGGATATCGAGCAATATCGTTTCCTGCCAAGTGAACGATTAGACAATGGAAATGGAACTGCTGAAAAGCTGACCAATACCTTCACTCGGAGGTACTCCTCGAAGCGGGATGTCTTGACAAAGCACGACACCAAAACCTGAAACGATTGAGGGATGGTAACTAGGCGAAGACAAACAAGAACATCTATCGCACTCACATGTAAGGCCTGGCTCTCTGGGTGAACATAGTCCAGGAAAACGCGTCTGTGCAATCTCTTGTGCTCAACTTGAGAATGTTTCGCCAATACTTTCCGCATGTCCGCGACGATGAGCTGCCAGAGGACACTAAAATGAGTCCCTGAAATGCTGTGGAGTAAAAACAACACTTACGGCTATCTTTCCAGCGTCTAAATGACTGATGGCCAGGTGCGTTTTGATTCGCCAGTGTGTTTTCTGACTAAGGTTCCTAACGACGCTCACGGTGAACTTGTGATTAGGAATATGGACGGCTTCGCGGTCATCACCTCGAATGACAGTTGGAGACCACCAACCGACGTGCTAGCAAGCCGAATTTTAGTAACATTTTCCTTCAAGGTCCTTTGACAACATACCTCAACTGTCCCGGAAACCTCCTGGCCTTCAATTTTTGTTTGTATCCATTGATTTTCTATGAAAGGTCGAGTAGCATGAATCATAATACTCGATAGAAAGTTCGTAAGAATCTGTCAGCATTTCACAGTCAGTTCCTTTTGAGAAAAACAGCAACTGAATACTCCCCACCTCTCTGCCTGCTAACGTAACAAGAACTGTTCCAAGGCCTCCAGCCGTGATCCACTTTTGAGTCGAAAATCCTAGAAGTTCCATGAAAAGACACACCGCTGCTACCCAAACAGACGACCGGACAGCGTTGCTGATGAATTGAATCCCGAGCTGGAAGTATAAAAGATCACACGTATAAGATACCGCAACGGAAAAAATAACCACAATACATTTCGGCCCTTGTCCGAATCGCGTGTTTCCAAAGACTTTTGAACTTTTTCGGTTAGGCTGAAAAGGTAAATAAAAATCAAAGCATGAGAAAAACAATACAATGGCGAAGAAAAAGCTTACTTCGTTGCACACACCGCAAACGCGAGGACTGTTGATAATGATCTTACAAAATTAATTGATCGATCTTTGATTGCCTGCGACGCTCCAGATGACAAGACCACAGGATCGATAGACCTATACACCGAAATCATGAGAAGATCGTCACTAAAGAAAATCTAGAATCACCCGCAAATGGAGATAACACCCATCCAGATAAGTAAGGGGCGCACATAAGCTACCAATATGTGTTCCGTTTGAGATTTATGCCAGCTCTCCTTCTGGAAAAAGAACTGTCAAAAAATCTTTCACTACCAGGCATCCAGCTTACCCCAAACACGCCTTGCTGGATCATCTTTATCGTCGGAAGTAGTCCATACACCGCGAAAAATATCATGGCCAGAGGAGGAGCACAGCTCGAGAAAACTGGATGCGCTTTCAACACACTGAGCACTCTACAGCAGCCAAGAAGAAGAAAACAAGAGTGTCAATACCTCTATGGGAGCCCAAACAAAAATGTATCTGACTTTGCCAGTGCAGTAGAAAAGATTTGGTGAAAATCCTTTTGTGTCGATGTAAGTCCGAGGCATGAAGATACCGCATTGGGCTTGCTGATTGCACATTTTGGAACAGCTCTCAAGCTAGCCCACAAATGGACACACCACAAATCCTGGTTGTAAAGCTGCAAAACCACAGATTTATTCTATGTCGTGCTAGAACAAATGTAGCTAGAAGAGAGGCTTACCCATGCGCAATTAGACGACCGCAGACCTGGCTGGAATGGAGCTTGTCCCCAGCTCTGGAGAAAGATCACAATCAAATACCCTCATTTCGATAACGCAAGCGAAATACCTGAAAATTTCTCTTGAATTGGACGCCACTGCCGTGGATTTGGCCAATTCGCAACGCATTCATCACCGCCATCAGCGCATCGCCGGCAGCGCTCTCCAAATCCCGCCCTAAAAAGAAGAAATTGCGCGCTCTAGAACCCTAGAACGCGAAAATATAAGCGAATGCTAAAGACAGTGTCCGTGAGCTAAGGACTAAGACTTTCGAGCCGATATACGCGTAGGATATGCCCGGCACGTGCTCACCGTGAAGAAGGAATATCCACTGATCAACGGTCTTGATCTTTAGTGCTCTTCAAATTTTAGGGTTCTTCAAATTTAGGGTTTCTCAAATTTTAGGGTTCTTGCAATGCCGAGGACGCCGGTGTCTGCAATCCTCGGCAATCTTTTAGGTGGCGTTCGCGGCCGCGCCAATGTCGCAGCTTGGTCTATAGCTGCGATCACCGTGTACTTCTTCTGGGTCAGGCCGGAGCAGCAAATGAAAGAAGATCGCGAGGTTAGGGCATGAAATTTTCAGCTGCTAGATTGATAATTCTCGCGCAGGCAAGGGCCGCATTGTTTAGGGCGGAGCAATCTCTTAAGAAAGAGGTAAATTCTCCCAATTTCCATGCTTGGATGAAAAGTGAGTTCTTCTGTTCTTCGCGGCAGGCCGAGTAAGCCGAGTAAAAGAACGAGTTTTAGCAGCAGCGCGTTTTCTCGCAAGTCGGTGATGAAAAGAGAAGAAAAGGAAGAATAAAAATCTATTTGGCCCCCGCTGGAAACTTCGAAGTCGCGTGAGCGCCCGCCTCAGGCGCACGTCTTTTTCCTCGCGGCGGGGCGAGCCATGGATAGAAATTGTAGCTCTGACTTTGGCGCTCCGCGAAGCAGCACGAAGGACGGCAAGCTTGTCGTACTGGAAAGCCAGATTTTTTCTCCAGTCCGGTGTAGGCCAGGCCAGGCCAGGCCAGGCCGCAGAGCAATTGTCGCGCTCTTGGAGCCCAATATCAATGTTTCCGTCCAGATCTGCGCCGAGAGTTTCCATCGAAAACAAAAAAACGAGAATGAACTCCCAACTTCTCACTGGACCACCGCCGCTTTGGTGCTTGCCGCGAAAAAGAGGAGAGAAAAGATTGCGCCACAGTCGTCTCGTCGTGTCAGTCGGGCACGCTTTCCTTTCAGCCAAATGAGAAAGAGTCAGTCAGGTGTGTGTGAAGTAACTCCAAACCTACCTTCCTCTTCGCAGCACCCGTTTTTGTCACGCTTCTTCCAAGGCCGGCACTGGTCAAAAACGCGGCAGTGATGAATGCGCAACCAGCGCCCATCAAGTTTTTTCCCTGGGAAAGACGCATTTTCGTTAGAAAAAAAAAAAGAAAAAAAGTCACAGAGATGCCATGACATCTCTTCGGTCACCTTTTGGAAATCGCGCAGCAGCAGCAGCAGCTTTAAGCTTACCTAGTAAGTTACTCGCTTTCGTCACAAATCAGCGCTCTTTGCGCACCTACAGCACAAGCAAAGAGTTTTTAAGGAAAAAAAATGTAGAAAGAAAAGGATAGGATTTGTACCTGCTAGGACAATTGTTTGTCAATCACAGTTGTCCGGCCACACTCGGGGCTACGCGGGCCAACACCTATAATAAACACCGTCCACAAACAAGCTTTAAAACTCCCCCATTATCGATCATGGGAGCTTCTTGCATTATAAATTACTGAGAAGACTGCGAAGAAAAAGGCAGGGTTCAAGGAAAAAGGAGATGAGATGAGCCAAAGTTTAAAGAGATCTTAAAAGGTTCCCCAAGATTTGGGAGGAAGGAGCTTCAAAGTTTTGTGATCATGGCTTGATAGATGAGCTAGGCCTACAGAAAAGCGGAGGAATAAGTTAGCCACTTTCTGTAGAAATCGTGATTAGAGCGCGCACGAAAACGGAAAAAAAACGGAAACAACAAGCAAACAAACAAGCACAAAACAACAAGAAAAAGGGAGAATTTTGGTTTGAGAGCTCTCACCTTGGCGCGGAGAAGAAAAAAAGCTTCGTCGCTATCATGCGGTGGAGGGAGCAGCGCTGCTGCTGCTGCTGCTCAACATCATCCTTTGGAACTCCTCGAAGTTCACAAACCCATCGCCATCCGAGTCGACTCCCCCAATCATCCGGTTGCAATCCTCCATTGTCACCCCCTTCTCCCCCAAGTTAAACATGACCTTGTAGAGCTCCTCCGCCGAAATGTAGCCGTTCTTGTCCGTGTCGAAGACGTAGAACGCGGCCTTGAGCTCCTCCACGCTCGCGGCCAGCGCGTCGCCCAAGATCTCCGTGTTGAGATGCACAAACTCGTCGAAATCCACGAACCCATCCCCGTCCGCGTCAACTTCCCGGACCATCGTTCTCAAGTCCTCCTCGCTCGGGTTCTCGCCCAGGGATTTGAGCACTCCCCCGAGCTCCGCCACCGAGATCTTGCCATCGCCGTTGGCGTCGAAGTAGCGGAAGGCGTGCTCGAGCTCCTGGATGTGCCTGGGATGCTGCTGCTTGTTCATGCTGCTGTGAGCCGAGGAGGAGGAGGAGGAGTCGGAGGAGATCTCGGCCGATTGGGATCTGCTGAGCGGGGCCTTGAGATCGCCCTCCATTGCCGACTTGGATGATCTCGACTCGTTGGAGCTGGAAAACGCTGACGAAGATCCGTTCTTCCTCCTCAAATATTTCGGGAGCTTCATCGTCGTGCGCGCGCCTATAGCTAGCCTGGAAATCTCACCACATGCCGCCTTGCGATGCCAGCATTCCGCTATCGCTGCCCGAAATATCCAAGAAATCTACCTCTCTTTTACCTCGGATCCTCGCCGGAAAGCTCGATCGAAGCTTTTGAGGTGAGATTTCCACCGATCGGCAGCAGCTTCACTGCGTCTTCCGCGTCGGCGGCTTCGTGATCCCACAAGGCCCGCGCCTCTACCGACAAAAGAGACTTAGCGATAGCCCCCGTCCGCTAGATCAATGCGGCGCCGGCCAGATCGTGGAGAAGAAGCGACGCCATAGCCGCGCTGCTTCGATCGCTCCACAAAATGCTGGTGAATGGCGAGAAACTTAGAGAAGAGAAAGGAAGGCCCTCGGAAAGAGAGGGCGGGCCCTTGGAGCCACAACCCTCTTGGCTCCATGCAGCCAATCAAAACCCTCGTATTCGCCACGTGGCGCATGACTTTAGGGCTCGGGCTGAGGAATATGCTCTTGTTTGTAGCGGGAAGGAGCTAGGGTTCTTGGGCGATGGCGGTGGCGCTGTGCTGCGATGGCGCGACTCCTCGATTTGTACTAGGGATATCTCGCACGGCCGCGAGCAAGCGAGCGCGGCTTGGCAGGAGCCGGCTCACCGCGTGCAATGCGAGTGGAGGAAGCGACAAGATTCCAAGCAATCGAGGTATTTATTCGAAAATCTCCCAAAATCTCTGTCACGGAGCTCTTTTTGATGTCGCGTTCCCAGTTTCTGGCAGGCTTGGGGGTCATCGGTGGCGCTCTGTTTGGAGCGGGATTTATTCTCGGGCCTCTTCTAGACGCCATTCATTCGAGCGTTGAACTCCAGGTCTATGGCAATTGGGCAATCAACATCGGGCCCCTTCGCACCAATCTCTGGGTACGGAGGACATGAGCTACTGGACAACTCCTGCTCGCTAAAAGCATTGCTTTTCTTCTTCTTGGGTTAAATCCACTAACAGGTGTTTCCAATTCTTGGGACGTTCTATGGTGTTGTTGGATTGTTGCATCTAGCACTTGACGAGCAATTCGCTAGGAACAGGCCGATTCGACCTCCAAGTTTCGAGAAGCTAGCTCTGTGTTTTGTGTAAGTCGAGATTTCTTGCAATTTTTTCTAAAGTTTAGAGTTTTTTTCGTTTACAGATATTTGGTTTTCTATCTTGAGCTGAGCGCTCAATTGTACCGAGCAAATGTGCCTTACAACATCGAAGCATATATACTGTTTGCCGGCGCTCAACTCAACTGGGCTTTATTTGAGGGCACAGTGCATGGCTTTGCTCTTGCGAGCCTTGTTGGTGTGTTGTGTCCTGCCTTGGAGATTCCCATCATCAAGTAAGCTCAACAGTTAGAAAAACTCAATTTGTCTTGCTGGCTACTTCACGAAATCGTGCTTTGCTACCTACAGGTGGTTTCATTTGTGGCACTACTCGAATCCGAATATATTCATTTTTGACGAGGTAACAGTCGTGCTCATCTAGCCTTCAAGTACGTGAATATGTTTCAGGGTGTTGTTACCTGGGTCATATGTTGCTACTTTGCGTATACACCGTTTCTATCCAATCTTTCGAGGTGGCTCAAAGCAAACATTACCGCTCCATCGACGGAGAAAGAATGATATTGGAAACTCTGGTAACTCATCTGTATACATGAATGCATTTTTATCTATTTTCTTTCTTTCTCTTCTCTTTTTCAGGCACTCCAGCAAAGCTATATACAAATATATCTACTTAAGAAAACCTGATTTTCATATCAAGCATTAGTCAAGTCATTGTTGATGGTGGCTCCGCTTCCAAGCTCGACGAAGCAGAGAAACTTTGTGGGACGACAGGGCTTCGCCGCGTTGCCATATTCAAACCGGAACCACACCTTCACAGTGTTCTTCATTGCCGCGTCATTGATGAGCTTCACGCCCCGGTTGATGTTTCGAGTCTGAGGGAAGATGTTCCGAGGCCTCCCTGTTCCCGATTATGTGACCGTGTCTCCTTCACTCACTTGCGAATCGCGACTTTGGTGTTGGTGCCACTGCCGAGATCGCTCCTGCGAATTTCAGCGTAGAGCCACTCCACCACTTGGTAGTTGGATTTGCATCGTCTAAACTCTCCACCTTGACTGATTGAGCAGGAGTCCAGCCATTTCTTTGAGCCATTGGTCCCCTCCCACTGGAATGGTACGTTGCGCCGGACGATTCCTCATTGTCGCAAAGCTGATATGTCCGAAGGTAAATTTCTTGCTAGTTTTATATTCCTTTACAGTATCCTCCAGGTGCGGGAAAGTGAGTTGGACAAGACAATGCGCTAGTTTCTTTGACGAGAATAAGTCAAGCTTCGTGGTTCTTTTGATCTAAACTTCTAAGTTTTCTTTTTTACTTTTGCGTGAAGGATTGATCTCCAAAGAGAACTTGTACTATGATTCAGCGAATAACATTGATTGAGAAGAAAGAACATAAGCGAGGAATTATTCTGTTCATGGAAAGGCCACTGCGCATCGATTTTACGCAATCTTTTTCTATGGGAATGGGAAAAATACCAAAACTACTTGTGTGTGTGTGTCTGTGTGTGTGTGTGTGTGTGTGAGAGAGAGAGAGAGAGAGAGAGAGAGAGAGAGAGACGTATTAGATGTGATCTTGTTTAATTAGTTTAATTCGATTGCTAGCTCATCGCGCATGCTAGCATATTTCGGCGAAGTAGCAAAGTTAGGGTTCTAGCGCCTCATTCGGCCGATCGATCGAAAGCGGCGGGCTTTCTTCCTTGGCGGCGGATTTGCTCCATGGACTACTTCATGGCGCCAGGGCGGAATCATCTCTTCGTGCCGGGGCCATCCAATATCCCGCAAAAGGTGATGCAAGCACTGAATCGCGGCAATGAGGATCATCGATCGCCAGCATTCCCGGTCTTCTCACGGCAGCTCCTTGCGGACGTCACGCGCATCTTTTCCACGCAATCTGGGACTCCCTTCATTATCCCCACAACTGGTATGTTTAATCTAGAGAATAGTGTTTTTGGGAGTTTCTTAAGAGTTTTTTTTTACTCTGGGATTTTCTTCTTCTTCTTCTTCCTGGCAGGGACTGGAGGGTGGGAATGCGCTGCTGTGAACACTCTCTCTACTGGAGATCGCGTTCTCACTTTCGTGTTTGGGCAGTTTAGCCATCTCTGGAGCCAGCAGCTCCAGAAACTCCACTTCGACGTGGACGCTGTCCAGTGCCAATGGGGAGGCGGAGTCGACTTGGGAGTTCTCGATTCGAAGCTCAGAGCCGACGAGGAGCACCGGATCAAGGCGGTGTGTGTCGTTCATAACGAAACTTCCACCGGTATTAACATCAACTTGGGAGTTGTGAGAGCCATACTTGGTAAGATCAAAGCTTTCCTGGGATTCTCTTAGACGGCTAAGATAATTGTTCTACTTGCTTCTTGTCTTGGAGCAGATTTAAACCAGCATCCAGCTCTGCTTTTGGTTGACGGAGTTTCGTCGATTGGAGCACTCGCGTTTCGCATGGACGAGTGGAAAGTCGATGTTGCTCTGACTGGCTCGCAAAAATCGCTCGGTCTTCCAACCGGTCTCGGTATCCTCTGTGCCAGTCCCAAAGCTCTCGAGGCCTCCAAGTCTGCTCGTTCTCCGCGGGGATTCTTCGACTGGTCAGCTTATCTCAAGTCGTACGAGCTCGGCTCTTACTGGCCATACACGCCTTCCATACAGTTGCTCTACGGCCTCCGAGCAGCTCTCGATCTTCTATTTGAAGAAGGCCTGGAAAATGTCATCAAGAGACACCACAGGCTAGCTCATGCCACCAGGTATAGTTCTAAGAGATTTTTTTTTCTCTCTGTCTAGCATTATACTGAGCGTTTCTTTGGCTTCCACCAGGTTGGCTGTGAAAGCTTGGGGCCTCGAGCTTTGCGTCAAAGATCCAGAGCTGTACAGTGATACGGTGACTGCCGTCGTGGTTCCATCCTACTTGAACAGCACAGACGTGGTTCGTGTAGCCTGGAGAAAATACAACTTGAGCATTGGAATCGGCCTGAACAAGGTGGCAGGAAAGGTGTTCCGCATCGGACATTTGGGATTCTTAAACGAAGTAAGTCTTTTCATCTCTCACTTTCCTCCTGACCTCAAGCGGATCATTCACTCTCGCAGCTTCAACTCATCTCTGCTCTGGCTGGAGTAGAAATGGCACTCAAGGACGTTGGCTTCCCGGTAAAACTGGGAAGCGGCGTTGCTGCGGCGCAGGCATACTTGCAAGAGAGCACACCACTTATTCCTTCCAGGCTCTGAGAGAAAGCGGCATCCTTTCTCGTAACTCGACGAGGTACGCGACACTCTTTTACTTACTGAAGATCACAGCATCGTGCGGGGCTGGCTACGTACGTTTCGAGAAAAAAGAAAAGAAAAGAAAACCACCTCACGGGGGCGGGGATGATTTCTTTTTTCCAGCAAGTTCCTGGTCTACGAAATGCCTGGCGCTGCAAAAAAGAACGACAGTGGAAAAAAGAGAAGGCCGGGACTGGACTACAGGACTGGGCGAGTTACAGACAGCTCAGTGACAAATACCGAAAAAAGGGAGAATTGATTTAATAGGTGTGGCGAGGCCTTCGCTCTTTGGGGAGGAAGACAACAGGGGAATGAGACGACAGCGAGTGATGTTGTGCACGCACACGAGAGAGAGAAATTGCGGTGGTCCGCGCTCGTCCAAGTGAGTCTTCGCAAACTTTCTTTTTCTCTTTTCCATTTGGAAATCACTGCTGCTGTAAGTCATGGCTTTTGCAGCGAGCAGGAACCTTTCAGAGGAGGAGAAGAAGAAGAAGAAGGAGAAAAGAAAGATGAGACTAGATGAGACGAGAACGAGGAAATCATGAACGACAAGCCTGTGTTTACTTTTTTGGCGTTTTTATTTTGTGGTTGGATGGATGAATGAATGAATGAAAGCTTTTGAAAGGTTTTTCTATTTTTCCCTTTTGAACGGGAAACGAGAAAACTCTCCGAGGTTGTAATATTATAAGGTTGCAAGTACAGAGAGAAAGATCATTATACTAGTAAGAAATGTAATAGAGAATGGAATGGGCACCTATTTTTTCTTTTATAAAATGGTTTTGGCTTTGTCAGGAATTGAGATGTGTGTACTTTTCTGGTAGCAAGCAGCAGCACAGCTCTTTTCTGTGTCCCAAGTTATGGGGGGAAGTATAAACTTATGATATGATCGATCTCTTAGAAAAATCTGGTAGTTAGCATTGTCAAGTTTTTGGATGAAACTTTTTTCTACTTCTACCAAAATCACTGACTTTGGTTCCTGGTTAGCATTAGTATTCCTTAAGAGACTATTTCAATGAGAAGCGTGTTTTACTGTAGAGCCCCTGCCTGGTTCAAAGGCCCCAAGATGAAAAGAGATGATGCATTGTTGGTGGCCGACACTTTCACATGGTTTGCTGCAAAGATGTGAATGGCTGAGATTCCATGGGAGTTTAGGGGCCAGGCTTGCACACAACACTATATGCTAGGGATTTTGGACGGCCAGAGAGGAGATCTCTCTCTCTCTCATTCACGATCCAACCAAGCAAAGTATCACATCGTCCATCCACTTAATTAAAATATTACACCATGGTCTACAACCATCCATGGACAAGGAGGAGTCCCAAAAACGAGAAAAAAGAGATCTTTCATTCACAACTTGGTATAATGTCTCTCTCACACATACAGTGGTGGTGGGATTCTTTTCTCCACACTGCATTGCATTTGGCGTGTCACACATGAATTCATCCGCAAGCGATGATCTCGGGAAGTTTACGCATGAGTGCGTGCTAGAAGTGGATCAACAGGTCGTGACCACTTTGATTTTCGTTGCAAGATCGCTCGCCTTTTTCTTAAACCTTGTGAAAAAACCGCAAAGGAGGCCCCGGTTTTCTTGAACATCGCCATTGGTAATGGAGAGCCGAGAGTCAAGATGCCCGTCCCATCGCCCAGAGCTCGTCCAGATTTCATTGGGCATCTCGGAAGAATCGAGAGCGATGCTCAAACGGTATATAAATACGTAGCGCTACGACCACATAGAGCGCATGTGGAGAGAAGTACATATTTATATAATCTTTTCGCTCCAGGAATGTAACGTGGCTGCACATGGATGCACGTGCATGCATGTAATGCAAACCATGGATTAATTTCACACCTGTCTATGATATAATGCTAATCCAAACCATAGTCTTTGTTCTGTACTCCTAATTTGATTTTTCCATGTGCTCTATCATTTGTGGATTTGGAAGAACTCTGGTTTCTTGTGTATAATGTACATTTAGTATACCAGCAAGAACTTCCAAATCCACAGCTAGAGACGTTTAAAAGAAGTTGTTTGTTAAGCCACACTCTTTTGATCATTGAATTTAAAACTTGGTAGGAGTGAGTAAGTAGGTTCTTCATTCTTTTGGGAAACAAGTTTGTTACTCCAAACAACCTGAAAACAAAACCAGAATTAATCATTTCTTTCTCTGAATCTAGATAACACCACCATACCATACCATGCGTATGATGATTGGTCCCATACGATGCCAATGTATTTACCTGGGCAGTAAATACCGCCAGCCTCGGGATTGCCGTATATGTCGCCCTGGCGGCCGACAACTAGACGATTGGAATTTCGCGAGGGAAGCCCGCGTGGCACGGGCAGCCGTTGGGGCGGGGGCGATCCAACGGCCACGGTTGCGATCAAATCGAATGGATCATATACTGGTCAATCTTCAATAATGCCGACGATGACGACGCGATGAGCGTAAGTTCTTTTGCGTGACAACATAGGATCTGCAAAGATCACAAAGCGCACAAGTTGTGTCAATTGATGGAAGTATATCAAAGACCACGCACGCACCAATGTTTCTAACTGCAGAAAATGCGGCTGCCCTGCAGTGGATCGGATTGGATTAGAGCGAACCAAAACAGACGCGAAAGCAAACAAAAACCTCTTTGCCTCCCTCGTCTACAAGTCACAGGGCGATGGCGATCATCGTCATCGATCGGCATTCGCACGGACCCTCACGCACTTGCAGACAGACAGACAACCACGCAGACCACGCAAAAACAAACATTTCCAAACGTAAACAAAGGCTTACCTCACCCTGCCGCGGCCTCGGGATGGCCATTCACGAGCGGGCTGTAATTACACTGGTGGCGCACGACGGTAAAAGCCGGGCTTTGCGCGACTAGTTAGATCCAGTCCAACATTTCCCAGCTCTTGTTTACCTCCTCCTGCCACAGCCAAAACAAACGATAAAAACTCTTAGAGCAAAGAGCTCGATCAAGGAGAGAAGCGCTGTTGTTCGCTAGAGACTACTATAGCCAAGAGAGGTCTACACGTACCTTTTGGTGGTTTTGGCCGCTTGCTCGCCACTACTGTAGCTACTTTGGATCCCGCGAAGTTGAGATTCGAGGACGACCAGCTGAAAAAATAAAGTGAGAACGCGAAGAACTCCTGCTCTTTGTAAATTGAACGTACCCGCAGTGTGATGCCGGGGAGGGGGAGCGTAGTAAATGGATCACTGGAGGGACCCCATGCGCCGTCCCTGGTCCACCCACCACTTCACCTATCCCATACTAAGAACCCCACCACCAAGGCCAAGAGTGAGCAGCGCAGCCGCAGCACAGCAGAGATCATCGTCATCGTCGTCTAAAGCCACCTCTTCTCTCTCTCTCTCTCTCTCTCTCTCCTCCCAGTCCATAAGCTCACTTGTTTAGTATTTTCGTCGACCCCCCATTCCCTTTGTTTCGTCTTTGTTTTCTCAATCACCACTGCTCGTCGTCTCGCACCACCAGCGCTGCTAAGATAAGTGTGTGTGGCATCGCTCTTTTGCCCCGGCCCCGAGCTCGGCTCTATTCTGCCAATTTAATATCCCCTGGGAGGTGCCTCGCAAATCTTGTGTCCGCAATTTTTTTGGCTCCAGATTGCCTCTCCCTTGGTGGGTCTGCCTTGCTCCCTTTCTTTTCTACTTCTTCTCCTGCTTCTTGTTGTGTGCTGCCGCTGCTGGTGCTGCTGCTGGCTATTCCCTTGATGCTGCTGTTGGTGCTGCTGTTGCCGCTGCTGCTGCTGCTCCTGCTGCTTACTCTTTTATCTATGTCTCTTCGTCACTAAGCCTGCTCGATCGACGTCATCAGTGTCTTTGCCGGGGAGATTGCTGGCTGCCTTTGTTGCTTATTTTTCCCCATCTCATGTTGCTCCACTGGGCTTAGAAAATAGCGCTGCCGGGCCAATACCACTGTGCGTCAAGCGGACTCGCGTCGTCCAAATTGATATCTTCCAACAGGGAAACTGAAAGAGGGTGAGCAAGCATTTTAGAAAGAATAAGAAAAGAAAATGAGAGATTTCTGCGAGAGTTCTCTCACCTTCGATCGCTGTACTGCAGTTTCGCTTGAGCAGGAGGCAAGAATTGGCCGAGATCAGATCAGATCTGGTCCTGTTACCAGCGCCGAAGTCACTAGTGTCGGTCGAGTAGATGAGCAGTAATTCCCTCTCGACAGGGAGCCAGTCAAGATTTCCATCCCGGCACCCGGTTGCTGGCATGTAAGAGCATGGATCCTGGCCTTCACGGTCACCACCACCAGCATCACCACCACCACCACCAGTTTGTAAGCCCGCTACCATTGGCCCAGGCCGGCACCTCCGAGGAAGAGAACAGTAACAGCAGCGGCCCCGGAAGAGGAGGTCCGGGAGGAATCACCACCCCCACCACCATCGACAAGTCCCGCGGTAACAACAAGAACTTGAAGACGGCGGCCACCACCAGTAGCAGCGGCGGGATGGGAGCCGGGGAGATTGTCCGCAAGCCCCGTGGCCGGCCACCCGGCTCCAAGAACAAGCCCAAGCCACCCATCATCATCACCCGCGACAGCGGCAATGCCATGCGTCCGCACGTCCTGGAGATTGCCGGCGGATGCGACGTTGGAGAGACTCTAGCCGCATTTGCTAGACGAAGGCAGCGCGGGCTCTGCGTGCTGGGCGGTAGCGGTACTGTCGCCAATGTCACGCTGCGGCAGCTCGCAGCACCCGGTTCCACCGTCACCTTCCATGGCCGCTTCGAGATACTGTCCCTGTCCGGAGCCTTCCTGCCTCCTCCCGCGCCTGTAGCCGTGGCTGGACTCACTGTGGCCTTGGCTGGATCGCAGCCCGGTCAAGTCCTGGGAGGCAGCGTCGTGGGAGTTCTAATGGCTGCAAGTCCAGTGCTCGTCATCGCCGCTTCTTTCGTTGGTGCGACTTATGATCGACTTCCGCTCGAGGACGAGGACCCCAACCAGGTTGCGAGTAATAATGTGTCGGCGGCTTCCGGAGTCACCTCGGATCCATGCAGCATGGCCTTGTTCAACCTCGCTCAGAATCCTCTAGCCAATTGCCAGCTTCCTCCCGATGTTCTCGCGTGGGCCGCTGCCGGGAACCGACCGCCGTTCTGACAGATATCTTCTTCTTTCCTCGTTTTAACTTCCTCTTGCTCGGGTCGCCCAGTTTCATCGGTTGCTCCAGCTGAAGACTTTGATCACTGCTCCCCACCCCGTCATGATTTTCATTCTTCTCCTGTGTCACACCCTCCTGTGCCATCATTTTCCTTTTAGCGTTCCAGCCAGCAGCTTGGAAGCTTTCTCAAATAACCCCTTCCAGTGCTGACGTTTCCGGCAAATCGATCGAGAGCTCTTGGCTGTCTAGCGTTGTTGTTACTGTCGTCCCAGTGTGTCCAATCCAACGTCACCTTGGATACCCGATGATCGGGATCAGATACGGATGTGTCTTTTCCCCTCTTTTGGTCAGCATCAGATACTATGTCACTGAACTTCTTCCAGCGGCAGCTTCTTCCTCTAAATTTCTCTTTCACTCCAATTTGCAGCATCGTGACTTGCCTGCGATAGAAAATGAAAATTGCAAAAAAAATGTTAAAAACCCCCATGTTCCAGGGAAAAACTGAAAGAAAATGGATTGCGAGGAATTTCCTCACCTGGCTTCCCAACTGAATAAAAAAGCGAAGGAACGCGATCGGCTCCCCGGTGAAACATCTTGGTTGAGCTTGAGAGATAGAAAGGCACCGCAGACAGGCCGCTGTACTTGTTTACTGCCCTGCAACAATGATATTCTTGATGCCCGATCGCTTCGTTTCCGTGCATGCGTGCTCAAGAGCTGTCGACAGCTTGTCTCATCTCAAGGCTGTGTGGAGTAAGCGCTTCCTGTTCAAATTCATAGCTAAAGTATGATAACTACGCCCATATTCAAAGTTGCAGAGCGGAAAAGAAAATAGCTTCACTAGGCTTGTCGTCGATCATATCCGGAAGCTGCAAGACGTGTGTGTGGCCGCATGCTTTCCTCCACTCTGCAAGGCCTTCGCAGCACAAACAACAGACTGAGGATTTCTTTTAAAACAACTGGTACCTGAATCAAACGTGCTCGTTGAGGTCTGTTTTTTCAAACAAGCCTTCTAAAATTCCTGCACAAGTCCAGCAAGCAATCTCTGAGCTCTGCAGGGTCGGCCCTTCTGTAGATAAACGCCCAATCGTCCTAGAGGTCGTCAAAAGGGTCTTGAAACAAGCCTCACCTTTACAATCATTGCCACAAGATCTGAGTACATGTCATTAGAATTAAGAACTGGAGCTGTGATTGTTCGTTGACAAGCAATCGGCTCCTTTATATTTGGCAAACGGTAACGCAGACATTACCTCACCGTTGCCATTTACAAAGCCCCTCGCCTCGACGGCTTATGCACCATACTTTGGTGCTTTCCAAAGCTTAAAAGCAACCTCATGAAGGAACCTGTCTGCCAGAATTGTGAGATTCCCGCATTTCTGACATAAAAAAACACGCCGTTAGAACACTTAATAAAACGCAACAGGCACACGGTACCTGGCGAAACTCTCCGAGCTGAAGACATGTGCAGTGGTCTCTACGTGTCACTGCCTTTTGGTGAAAAACCGCTAGAAGAGAACAATCTTTGCTGCCAGAAACATGTTTTTGTCGTTAGAAAGATTAAAAAAGAAAGAAAGAAAAAGCAAAACGAACAAAAACATTACCTTATGTCCTCTACAGGTTTTCCGCCTTTGATTGAGTAGCTTTGCCGTGGACGAAGCTGACGTAGCTGCTGATCGATGAGCTCGGGGATTTCCACTTCAGAAAGAGCGTTCCCGTACCCAAGAATAAGCACCAGGAGGAGATTCTTTGCAGGAGCGTTCTTCAGTTTCCCAACCAGAGAATCCATCCACTCCGTAGAAATTGCTGGCGACTTTTCCAGATCGTTGTCAGCCACCAAGTGTAGGAAAAGCAAGTCGAAAGGCTTTCCTCCCGCGGAGTCGCCAACTCCAACCATGCCTAGAAATTTAGAAGGCATATCTTCGGCACCAATTCCTTCATGCAAGTCTTGGAAACGACTAACGACGAATCCTGCTTTACTGCCAACAGCAACGGCTTGCTCGGAATTCGTCACGAGTGCTGCATTCATTCCCATAAATCTGAAAGAAGATAGCAACAAAAAAAGTATAGACACCTTTGCGAAGATTATTACCTTTCAGACACAGTCTGGAAGCCCTTGCCCTCCTGATTAGAGTAGAACAGAAGGCATAAGAACACAAAAAAAATCTCCATAAAGAAAATGCCACCTTGTAAGCATCGTAGAGATCGAGCAGCTGGATCAAAGCCTCGGCGCTTCGATTTCCATCGGAAGCAGCTGCTGAAATCAAGAATTTCTTGTTTCTACATGCTAGGAGGAGGGGAAAGCAAAATCACAAGCGCTTACCCGGCGATCGAAGCGCCAGAAACCCGCAGCAGCCATCGGATGCCAGAGAATGGAGATTCGAGTGCTGCGCGGCGACGTGCGGCAGGAATCCATCGCCGAATATCACCACGGATCGAGAGGGCCCGTCCGCCATGCTCCAAAATCCTCGACCCCGAGCATAAACCCTAGAAAGCCGTTGCCAGTAAAAAAGAAAAAGGCAGCATATTCCAAGAATCGGATCACAGAAAATATGCCCGGATATTTTTAGTAAGCGTTATCCATTTAGCGGGAATATAAAGCTGGAAAAAAAGTTTATTTTGATCGAGGTTTTGGTTATGGCGGACGACCAGGGAAGAACGCTGGAAGGATGCGAAGAACAGCTCATCAAGAGGGAGAAGAAGAAATTCACATCCAGCGTCTTGATCGCCTGCGTCATCGCTGCCAGCAGCGGCCTCATGTTTGGCTATGTGATCGGCATCTCTGGTGAGTGATCGATCGCAAGATCCTTAAAATCTCCTTTGGCTGATCGGTCGATCTCGATTTCCAGGCGGTGTGTCGGCAATGAAAGTTTTCCTGGCGAAGTTCTTCCCGTCGATCAGCCGCGATCCATCGAAAGGCAGCAGCGGATCCGGGAATTACTGCCGGTACAATGACCAGCTTCTTCAGCTTTTCACGTCCTCGACCTATGTTGTGGGATTGATCTCCACGTTTGGGGCGTCCTACACGACGAGGAACCTGGGGAGAAAGCCGACGATGCTCATCGCTGGGATTTTCTATCTCGTGGGGACTGTCCTCAATGCTGGAGCTCAAAGCCTTCCCATGCTCATCATCGGTCGCGACTTCCTTGGCTGTGGAATTGGTTTTGGAAACCAGGTGAGCGTTTTCCTTCGATCTTATTTCCTCTCCAAGGCTGATCTGATCGATCGAGAGTTTGTTCTTCGCAGGCTACTCCACTCTATCTTTCAGAGGTTGCGCCGCCACACTTGCGTGGAGGACTTAACATTCTCTTCCAGCTAAACATCACGACCGGGATCCTCATCGCCAACTTGGTAAACTACTTCACGGCAGCATATCCGTGGGGATGGAGGCTGTCCTTTGCTCTGGGAGGGATCCCATCACTTCTTCTCACTCTCGGGAGCTTCGTGCTCTCGGAAACGCCAAACAGTCTGATCGAGCGCGGCTACTTGACTCAAGGGAAGCAAGTGCTCGAGAAGATCCGGGGAACCGACCAAGTGGAGGAAGAGTTTAACGATCTCGTCGAAGTTGGCGTGGCTTCCAGCTTGATCAAGAACCCGTTCCGGGACATCATCCGGAAGAAAAACTTGCCGCCGCTCATCTGCGCGATCTGCCTCCAGTTCTTCCAGCAAGCTGGTGGAATCAACGCTATCATGTTCTACTCGCCGGTGCTGTTCGAGACTGTAGGATTTGGCAGCAATGCCTCACTGGTTTCGACGGTGGTCATCGGCGGGATCAACGCAGTTTGCACCATCATCTCCATGGTGGTCGTGGATAGATTCGGACGCAAAATTCTCTTGCTCGAAGCTGGCGTGCAGCTCTTCATCGCTCAAGTAAGCTCAAGTTTCCAAAATCCAGTTTTTCTTATGGATCCATTCTTCTTGCAGGTGGGGATTGCGATTCTTCTCGGCCTCGGACTAAAAGACTCGGTGAATCTTCTCACGCCAATGCAGGCCATGGCGGTGGTGCTCATGGTGTGCTTGTTCATCTCTGGATTTGCATGGTCTTGGGGTCCTCTGGCGTGGCTGGTCGCCAGCGAGGTCTTCCCACTCGAGGTTCGCTCCGCCGGCCAGAGCATCACCGTGTGCACCAATCTCTTGTTCACTTTCGCCATGGCGCAGTCCTTCCTCTCCATGCTGTGCGTGCTCAAGTATGGAATTTTCATCCTTTTCGCGGCATTCCTCGTGGCCATGACGCTCTTTGCCGCATTGCTGCTGCCCGAGACCAAAGGGATTCCAATCGAAGAGATGAGTGGCTTGTGGAAGAGGCACTGGTTGTGGAGGAGATTTGTATAAGAGAGAAAAAAGAGAATAACAGTATTGACTTTGACTAAGTCAATCCCTTGACTGAATTCAATGGGCATAATATATGATTCAGTTCGAGGCTGTTAAGTTTAAAATCTTTTAGTGGTCAAACAGTGATCAAAATCACCTAGAACTCTACAGTTGGGTGATCCCCCTTCAATGGCATTGCTCTGGTCAGAATGAGAGCATGGGTTGCATTGTCTCGAGCTAGACACTGCTGAATTCAAAGAGAAGGACTTCTCTCCAAGAACCTATGAAGTGTTATGTTTCTGGAGACAATGCAACAAAAGGACTGCTCAAGGGAGAGTACTGCTAGCATAGCCGCACCAATCTTCCTCCAAAATGATGATAGTAGAGGTTTAGTGGAGGAAATATGCTAGATCTTTTCATTTGCAGTGGTAGTCTGATAATGAGTCCAATAAATACTATAGTGTGAGTTTAATATAACTGGTTGAATAGCTAGTTTGGACCTTTAAAGGGATGATTATAAAGTATATAAAACTTTAGCATTTGGATTAGGATAATTATTTATTGTTTCTTCAATATGTGTATGTCATAGGGGTGTAAAGTTCTGTTGATATTTCACCATATAAACTATTATATTATTATGATTTTATATTACTAACAAAGTTGAGTTTACTTTTGCAATTGCAACAAGCTGCGGATCTTAGGTTTTGGGATTATTATTTGCCAAACATTTTTTTACTGATCCAAACAAAATCTACTAAAAATTTAGGTCATGTAAAAATGGGACAACAATGGCATTATAACTATCCATATATGGAATACAAAGTGATGATTTAGTGTTAATTTAGTTTCCTAATCTTATGCTTTGTGATTTGTCTAAAGAGTTTTTTGCTTAGTGAAAGGGATCATATTAAGTGTTATGGCAAGTTAAACCATAAGTTTATAAATTTTAATATAACATCTAACAAGTTAATCCTCTAAAAATTGTGCATATGCAGTGGCTATGAAAAACAAACACCACTTACAAATTAACTAATACTTCCTCCTGATATTCTTCCAGATCTTGCCCATCCATTAAAGAACTTTGATTGTCTTCCATCATTTTAAAAGAAGGGAATGATTTGAAGTTCAAGTGTACAGTTATGATGTCAAATACTAATATTAGTATACTGAGATTTTGATAACTATTGGATTAGTTTTAATTTGGACCACTTGCTTCTATATATAAGTTAAGGTTTTCAGGTTAATTAATATGTATATTTCTGTATTTTATTTTCATATTCCATGCACTCACAAAATTTATATATGCTACTTTAACATTTATATTATAATCTACTCTATACTTTTAAATTACTGTCAAGAGCTTTTTGTTAGAATAAATAATTTAATACCCTTTACAATAAGTCTTGGTTTATCTTGCTGTTAACAACAAGCTATATTGATGGATAAAAAAGGCTTGATAGCTTAGTCTAGTTTTTAGAATATTAAGATTAGTTTATAATATTTAAAGAAAATTACAAATGAATTAGAGAAGAACCAGAAAATCACAATCATAAACCATTGGATTGAAAAGGTGAAGAAACTATTACTTAAGGTGAGATAACTATATTTTTCTGCAGAATTTGTATATATAAAAAAATTATACTAATATATTTTTCTTGCAGAATTTGAATATTTATTAAGGTAAGCTGGAAAACAAGACAAACACTCATGGTCTTGTCTTGGAAAAGATGGCCAAAATATTGGTTCAATTTGAATCACATATATGAATCATAAATGGAATATGAATCATAAAATCACAATCATTAATCACAATCTGAATCACACATAAATAAATCTTCACAGAGTTTTAGGAATTTTTTATTGGTATAAATGTTAAAATGTAAAACTTTTTATGATTACAACATGATCCCATCACTCTAGAATGATAATATACCAAGAATATTCTTAAACATAATTAACAGTTTTGCTTATTACAAAATTTAAATGGATTTGTGTTGAACACCAAAGTACACTCGTATTTCCTCACTTTCTCAAAAATAAATTATTAATAGTAAATTTTCAATAATAAGCATGAAAAGGGTTTCCTTAAAAGAATTGCAATAGAAATACTAGTGGTTTAGGATTTGTAAATTGTTTTTATGACTAAACCAAAACATTGTATTTAAGCTTTAATGTCTCGAGCGACAGAGAGGATCATAATCACAGATTTCTCATAGAAATACTAAATGTGAATTGATTTTTGTTTTAACAACTTAGATAGTAATCTATAACCACAACATTGACTCAAGTTTAGATATATATTGTATTATATTCTGTTGAACAAATATCGAGACTTTACTTACAAAAATATAGTGTGTGAATAAAATTATATTTACAAATTTTCTTAAGTACATTAGAGATCTTGAAAAAACTCAAACTGAAAACATGAATGAGTTTTGAGTCAACAAAAATTGCAAAATGTTAGTCAAGGGCTTGACATAGTCAATCCTGTTCTTTTTTTTCTCTGCTATACAAATTTCTTCCAGAATGCCTCTTCCACAACCCACTCATCTCTTCGATTGGAATTCCTTTGGTCTCGGGCGGAAGCAATGAAGCAAAGAGCGTCATGGGGACGAGGAGTTCCGTGAAAAGGATGAGAGTTCTATACTTGAGGAAGGACCATGGCGAAAGTGAAAAGAGATTGGTACACACGGTCATGCTCTGGGCCGGTGGAGCGAACCTCGACTGGGAAGATCTCGCTGGCGACCAGCCACACCAACGGGCCCCAAGACCACGTGAATCCAAGCATACCATGAGCACCACCGCCATGGCCGTGAGAAGATCTTAGTCCGGCTCAATCACCACAAGAAGAATGGAAAATTGGAAGGATTTAAGTCTTTGTACAAATTTCTCCTGCGAAGCATGGTAGCCACTTTGTCTAGTCCCACACAGCTACAAGGCATCTGTGAACGGAAACATGGAAAATGAATTTACTTGATGAAAATCTCCACGCAAGCTTCAAGCAATAGAATTTTGCGTCTGAATCGACAACCAACGTGGATTTTGTCTTCCTTATCCCCTTCACCATCCTTCATGCATGGATAGACATTGACCCTGTGTAGATCACTATGGTGTGAATCTCTCTGATAGCAGACAATGCGAGAAGCGTGAAAAAAAACACGATGGACATGAC